GCCATTGTATACACTGGGCCTACGGTTTATAGTCCATATCCGAGAAGACTTGTTCTACCACCAGAACCATAGGCGAGCGTGCCGTTCGAACCAGCGCCGATATTATGGCTATAGCTTGCGGCGCCCCTGCTAACCGATCGGCCATTCGACAGTAGAATGTGTAAACAAATTCTTTCTGTAAGTAATTCTGTGCAAAAGGAATTGTTTATGTATCACAAAACATAATATAAAGCACAAAGAGTTAATTTGTTGGTCACCATTGAACAATTAATAATTTGTTGTGTTGCCCACTGACAGTGACATTTGGAACTAGGATTGTTTTTTTACTATACTGAAAAGGCTTGACTTTAGGAGTCCTAATTCTAGGATATATTGCTAATAATAACCACTTACTCCACCCAAAAAAATATAGTTAAAATAAATTGGCAAAAACCACATGAATATGGTTATGAAATCTAACTGGTAGAGAAACATTTTTTTGAGTAGGTCTAATTAACATATTTTGTATAAATTTATATGAAATACAGGCTCAACAATTGAGGATATAACATGGAACAATCCTTTGTTATAGAGTAGCTATACTAACCTTTAGCAACCACCCATCCAATGCCAGCTTCCTTAGCTTTCTTTATCGCGATATCTGTACAGAACTTTCCAACAACTGGTCCTAGAAGATTATTGCCTTCAACCCATGCAGTTGCTGCCGTTTCTTTCAAAATCTCCGGACTCTTATCACAGACTGTCATACCTGTTTTTATATCCGTTACATACATATCTGGAAAATCAGGGAAAGAAATCTTACATCATCATTTGTTGACTACTAGTGACAAGTGAAAATAAAGTTGGAAGTTGAATTATCCATAAATTGCTCAAGAGAAATAATTATTGTAGAGCTCCTTGTTAAGAAAATAGATATCATTTTACTTTCAAAAGAAAAGACTATGTTTTACATCAATATTATCGCCATATTATTAAAATCAACAAGATCATTGTTGTTAATCCACAGACTGGAATATAAGTGTGTCCTAAGTTGAAAGGAAGTCACTTCTGGGATATCTGTTTAAACAAACTTTCTTAAACAGGTATCAAAATTTTGCAGAAGATGGGGTAGTTTTCGGGAGATTTTTGCTTGCTTGCCGGAGTGCATGGAATTATATTAAAATGTTGAGTCTGAGAGTGTCATTTCCGGCCATCTACAGGTGCTTTAGATTTTCTTACCTAAGCCCCAACCATGGTGGGGCTGAGGTGGTCTTCACCCTCCACCTGAGGTGAAAATCTCTCCCTGGCCCCTCTATTCGAATTCCCTGACCGGCCACTGCAAATTTTGTGTGCCACCAATTTCCTTGATTAGTTTAGAACAGCTGCTGAGACAGAATATGTCCTAAAATAGTTACGAATCCGAATATAATTAGTATCTATTATAGCCTAGGTCTATAGAAGTAGGGGGTAAAAGTAGCACTTCTTACGATGAATTTTACGAGCACTTCATGGAATTCCCAATATCACATCAAAGGGCCCGGCAATTAACATTGCACTATGGCCCTTTAGCACCTAGTTACAGTACGCCGCTGGAAACTTGGGACCCAGGCCTGCAGCTACTTCTGTTGCAGTAACATGAAATATTACACATTACCTAGCCTGTTCATCCCATGACTGTAATGTCCGCGGTGATCAGCAGCCACTAACACCTCTGCTAGATCATTGGCATGCGAATCTTGTGTGCCTGCTGCCACCATACATCTGTGGATGAATGATCTAGCCTCTTCCACAGCAACAATGTGGTAATCCCTAAAAAAAATGAAAAACATAAAAGCTCTAAAATTCACTAGTTTGTCTCAGCAATAACAAATACTGTAAGAAAGAGGGCAGCTCACTAACACAGTTTTAATTATTTAGCATGATCTTTTTAAATACTCATACTTATATAAAATCTTACACTTAACATATTATTCAAATACAAGATAATGGATTGTTAATGTTACTTCTATTTTCGAGGTTGGGTATGGTAGTAAATATATTTTTGATAACTTAGACATTTTATGACTTCAATTTAAGACAATGGAAATTGTTATATAAAGTACTGTATGAGAATGCCATTTCTGGGCATCTAGAGGGGACATACAGTCAGTGGCCACCGGTGCAGTGGCATAGGTTCAACAGGTTCATTGAACCTGGGCCTCCGACAGCCAGGGGCCCCTGATCTATAAAAAAAAATTAAATTAAAGCAATGTTTTATTGTGACATTGAACTACCGTATCTGCTACCTTCCAGCGAGTGGTGTAATGTCAGGGCCGGGGGTCCTGTGGCTTTCAGAGACTATGGGTGCCATTTGTGGCTCTATTACTGAAATCACATCCGCCGTTATACATGCGAGGGATAATCAGGGCCGTCGGAACGACATCGGTTGGCCGGACCACTTTTTCTCAATTTTTAAAATAAATATATGTATACCTAATATAAAAAATAATTATATGAATTTATTATTAATGTTCGCATGACATTGTCTTTTATGTTATATATTTAAAACAAAAATCCACCATGCTCTTGTTTTTGTACAGTGCCTATGTACATTTCAATTTTTGACAATATTTAATTTTCGTAATTTAGATGATTTTTTTAAATATTTTTTTTATAAATATAAAATAACAATTAAATATTTATAAAAGTTTGGTGGTTGGGCATATAAGTAAAATTAAAATTGTACCAGCAGTATGTTACTCGAAACTCCAAGGTATTCATTAATTTTGTAGGTCTATTTTTAAATATAATGATAGCATATTGCATCATGTGTATTCGTAACACATGTTTTATTTTGCATATTGTTTATATTTCACGATACCGTGCATGTTGTGTAATTATAGTAGGCAGTTATTCATTGTACAGTATTATAATGTATTAAATAATGCACAGCGTATTGTACACCTGTGTATTCATAACACAAGGCTTATTTAATTAGGCCTACATCATTTTATATGTTATGTATTTCACAATACCCATCAACTCGTATAATTTAATAAGCCTATAGTCGTTATCATTATTCATATTGTATTTATATAATGTGTTTGTGTTTCTCGCACTTTATCTATTAATGGAGGTATAAACAACTCAATTCATCTAGTTATGGCCGTGATAAGAGATTAAATTTTGAACAAGTTATCATTTCGCGATAGACCTACATTGATTTAATATAGGCCTATGAATTGTGAATTGGTCATTATTTTGAGTCCTGCTACTACTTTCTGTGTCCAGATATAACATTTCTAAGCTGGGTGCTTTTCTGGGCCCACTCTTTAGCATTTAAATGTACAGGGCATTTTTGTGAGTATAGGCCTAATTTTTTTGAGTTATACCGGGAGAATAAAATGCCCTGAAAGTCAAAACTCTTTAAAAAAAATTCTCTGGGTTAGGGTCCCTCATGAACATTACACACACACACACACTGCTCCAGGCGACCAGGTCAGCTATGGTGATCTCTTTGGTCTGCTGTAAACATAAGGCATGCCCTGATCAAAGTTCTTAAGCCTGTACGGCCACTATCACTCCCATATATACAACATCTTTACGCAAAGTTACAAGGCTGACCTGGAGGTCAAAGATACTTGATATGTTGAGACATCGCAAAGAAAAAAACTCACTTTTAAATAAGCTGAGAAAAGATCAGAAAACAATAAATAAACAAAAAAAAAAAAAACAAAAACAAAAACCCCAAAACAGTTGCAAAAATTAACGTATTTCACCATTGAGTTTTGGTGATAATTTTTTACTTGTTTTTGTGCGATTTAAAGAAATATCTGATATCTGGGATGAAGAAAAAGTTTATTTAATAATGTACTTTTTAATTATTTTATTTAGTATTTATCTATTTATTTAAAAATTTGACAATACTGTCCAGGAGGGAACCATTTTCCAAGGGCCCAACACAAAGTGGGAACCTCTTGACATAAAAACAGAAAACGATGTACAATATGCAAAATCAGTACGGTGATCTCATATCGTTTAAATTGTTAAAATGTGCTGTTTTTTTAACACTTTTAAAGAGTATTATAAGTCAATCGTGATGTCATCACTGCAACTCCCAATGTAATTTGCCTATGCACGTACTATAGGAGCACATATCAGCATACACACAGCGTAACACACACAGTATGCTAATCATATCACTATAGCAACCGATTATTGCTACAAAAAGTGATTATCAAAACTAACATTAAAGAGAGCGATTGACTTATAAAGCAATTAGTAGAGCATGCATCGTACACCAGCGGAAAATTCATTAAAAATGAACTAAAGCAGTATATAAAAACAGAGCATGAAGAAGGGTTTTATTGCAAGGACACTGGAAACATTTAAAATGTTTGTGCACCCTAAAAATTCACTTTGGCCCTTCAACCCATTTTTATCCCCATCTCTGCTGTATAGCCTTCTTACTGAATGTTTAGTTAAAATCCTTAATGGAGAATTCCTGAAAAAAGGCATGGAATTTAATGTAAAACCTGCACCTAATTTGGTGCAAATTACTCACATTTTTTATGAGGGTCGTTATAAACTGCGAATAACAGGTGATTTCATCTGTAAATTTCTGGAATCAAAAGAAATTTAACTATAATGAGTTATTTTATATTATTCTCAGAAATCTTAATGGTGACTACAATTTTATTAAAGAGATAAAAAGTAATTTGTTTGAAAATAAAAAAAATAGTGTACTATCGATATAGAAACTGTTTGTTCAATATTCCAAAGTGCTTTACAATAAAGGGTGCTCTGATAATAATTTACATAGCAAAACGAGTAAATTAAATACAGTAGATAAAACAAGGGAATGTGGGAAAAGAATAAGGTTGTAATAATTCAAGTGTACTGTAACTATATCTTATTACAGTGGCCATTTCAGGCCTGCACAATCATTTTTTTAAACTAAACTGACAAGTTGTTCAGTACTGTATATGGCAATTACTACATGCAAAAGAGAATTGTTCACCATTTATGGGGTTAGATGTCCCCACCAGTGACCTCTGAAATCAAGATTGAATAAGAAAAACCTATCTTAGTAGTGTATTAAAATAGGCCAATGCATTACAGTGCAGTAGCATAGGACTTTCGTGTTGTTACTGTTCCAAGTAGCGATAATATACAGATTTCTCTTATTACAAAGTACAAGTATACATATTTCTCTTATTACAAAGTACAAGTTATGTTTTATAAAGAGGTATAGTATAGTAAATCATGTTTTTAACACAGGAAACTCTCATATGGTAACTAAAACAATGCTAGTTCAGAGTATTACTAGTACTACAGTAATCCATATACCTATTTTAATACACTACTGAGATAGGCTTTTATTTTTCAATCTTGATTTCAGAGGTCTAAAAAAATTTTTCAACTTTTTTTCAAGCATATAGTGGTGTAGACTATACAACAATGCTAGTTCAGAGTATTACTAGTACTACAGTAATCCATATACCTATTTTAATACACTACTGAGATAGGCTTTTATTTTTTAATCTTGATTTCAGAGGTCTAAAAAAATTGTTTAACTTTTTTCAAGCATATAGTGGTGTAGACTAGTCTTTTAAGAACATTTTGCTGGAAAAAAATTTTGGATACGACGCCCCGTTATGGAGTTATGATTTTTTAAATAACATGATGTCAGAAAATCAGCCCAAAAGCTTATCTAATTTCTGTTGGTTACGCACCGCTGATTCGCAATGTTTGCCATCACTGCAAGATGTCTACCGATTCGTGAAAAAGGCCTATTGGCAACATTGTGGTCTAAACACAATTTGGGCCATAAGCCAAAAAAAAAAAAAAAAAAAAAAAAAAAAAACTCTCCCTATGAACCCTACCAAACGCTCTAGCTGGGCCTAGTTGAATTTCCCCTTGTTAGTGGCCGCGGCCCCTGCCACCAAACCTTTTATGCGTTTATTTAGGCCTCGTGTAAGCATCCATCAATCATGATCCAGTAACTTTTTTTCTTTCGAACCCCCTTCAAAGTTCCTTCCGATGCCCTTACTTGACAACTAAAGTATATTCGAATGCGTAGGCCTAGTGATACATTACTGAAGCCCTTGGGCAAAAATCTCGTTTAGTGGGAAGAACAACTTCTTAGCCCACGGCCTAGTAAGCTAAAATTTTGTGAAGATAAATCCTGGGGCGCAGTTATGCACGAACGGATTGGTGGCGCTAACTATATTAAACTTGTGCTACATAGGGTAGGCCTAGACGGCGAAACAGTACAAATTTTCAGACTTCGAAAAAATATCAATCGACTTACCTCATCTTGCTCGCCACTCACTGATGAAAAAATATCAATCGACTTACCTCATCTTGCTCGCCACTCACTGATGAAAAAATATCAATGGCTTCTTAGGTCGCCAAACAATGGCCGTGTGAATTGGTATGGAACGCCATATAGGCATTATCCAACACCATCTCTGTTGACGTCGTTCCATCCTGCGGTGTAGGCTTACTGTATTTTTATGTTAAACTTCTTAATTCAATGTAGCCTTGTTAAAGTGTTATTCTTTTGCACAATGTATTTCTTTCATGTACAGTAATATTTATTTTCAGGTATGTGGATTTCTATTGAATTAATGTACTATTTATTAATGTCGTTGTGTCGGTGTATTATCTTAAATTTATTATTCACAAGTAGCCCGCCCGTAAGTGGTAACTGTTAAGCTGACTTTAAAAGTGTGGCAAATAAGGTAAGTTCCAGTGAATAATTAAAATAAATCTAAATGTTTTGCGTTGGTATATAATTTGATTGCAGCGTGCGGTAGACTCGTTTCCATTTGCTATTTGGAATTTCCTCAGAAACTGCTTCCCCTTTCAGTACTCACATCATCTGTTTTTAGAACATTTTTTTTAATGAATTATGTTATTAAAATAGTGATATCATCATATCATTTCTTTACATGAAATCTTGCTATAGTTTAATTTAATCATCTGCTAGCCGAAGGTCTATACGAAATGCAGTATGAATATTTTTATTGTAGCTAGGTTTTATAAATTTCAGATACATTGTCGTCTTTCTGTTTTTCATGTCTCCCTTTTTCTTTTTGTTTTAGGCTGGCTCGTCACAAAATGTTTTTTTCTCCGTGTGGGTCTGTGCCTTTTTCCTTTTCTCGTGCAATTGTTACTGATTTTATATTTTATGTTTGTATGAATTATGGGGGTATTCATGTTCAAAACAATTGCCTTGGTGATCATGCCTTAAGCTTGGTCCAGATTATCAAATTTTCTTTGACAAAAATTGTTGAATGCCCATATATAGTCATGAAGTGCCTATATATGTTCATGATGTGATGTCATCATGACCATATTTAGGCATGTCACATGTTTTTGTTAGCATGTACAGGGTTTTATTATATCAATTAGCTTTTGATTTCTCGAAATGGCACGTGAGCTGTGGAATAGTTTGGTGTATTAGCAGATGGATGCTCAATCAATAAGAAAATTTAACCAAGCCAATAAAACCTCCCCTGGTTATGGGCCCGATCTTAGTAGTTTGTTGACATTGCATAATTAGCCACAACAAAGTAAAATACTACCACTCAAATATATAAATCTACTGTTAAATTTATTAGCACAAAATGAATAGCATATTTGTATTACTGTATTAAAAGATTGTTATCGTAAATATGGGCAGCTAAACAGATACACTGGGTATGCCCACCCACAAAACTTTAGATCTTATAAAAAAAATTGGGGAAAAATTATTTCAGACATGGTTTAAAATGTATTGTATTGAAATACTGTAGTGCACATATTGAGTATAAAATATATTTCACAAAATATGGATAAAACCATAAAAATTTCAATTAAAAAAATTGAAAGCTCATTTAAAATGATCAATTAAAGTTACACATATCAAAACATAAACGTTTTCATTGATTTACAGATGTTTCACTACAAAAATACTTAATTCATACAAGCCAACTTAAAGGAATATAGTAACTATATTAGAAGTAATGATGTATAACATTTTCTTTCATTTCTGTAGCAACCAAAAAAGTTTCATTGAACATGACTCCAAATTCTCCACTTGAATCTC